GTATACAATATTCTGTCTGTATGTATGCCTGCAGGCCAGAAGAGGGCACCAGACCTCATTACAGATGGTTGTGAGCCACCATGTGGTTGCTGGGAATTGAACACAGGACCTTTGGAAGACCAGGCAATGCTCTTAACCACTGAGCCATCACTCCAGCCCCTCTCTCTTTCTTTCTTATAAAGAAATTCAGGAATTGTGTGCATGGGATCTGGTAGCAGACCTGAGTTTCAAACCTTCCATCTGTGATCTGTAAACAGAGAATGGTCTTCTTCTTCAGAGGGTCTGCCTCAGACTATCAGCCAGCATTGATAGATGCCTACCCACCATGTGCCACTCCTTGGGCTACTGCTGGGGTAAACTGACCATCAGGACCTGCATTTCAAACCCAGGGCAAGAATGTGGGCAGATCACCAAGAAATGCGAGATTAAATACGTGGGAAGGGCTGGCTAGAACAGTGAAAAGTACCAGAAGTGGTCCGGACTGGGTCTCACCTCCTCAGAGGCAGTACCCAAGAGGGAAAGGAGGGCATGGCAGACAGTAGCGGTGAGAATGGCGGTGTAACAACAATAAGGCCTGGTGTTGACTAGTGCTTCCCAGGTGCCCAACACTCTTCTAAGAACCTAAGAGCATCTCCCCATTCATCACAAAGATGGGTGCCTTTCTGACACTCTGACTCCAAAGAAATGGCCACTGCAGAAGTTCCAATCAATCTTCAGAGCTCACCTGAGAGGATGCAGGGAGCAGCGGAAGCTCAAAATCCCCTCTGTTCTTTTTCTTTTGTGTCTAGGATCTTTGCACTGTAAAGCCCAAGCCAAAGTTGAACCCAGGACCCTCCAGTCCCAGTTTCCCCAAGGCTGGCTTCACGGGTGTGCACCACCAGGCTTGCCCCTCCCCCCTTATTAAGCTCTCTTCACTAGCACCTGCCTCTAGGTCACAAGGGCTTCTTTCGGCTACAGAAGGCATGGAGACCCAGGTAACTGCTCCTAAGTTGCACTCTTAGTCAACAAACAAATCACTTTAGACCCTTGGGGGAAAAACGTAGCTCTCTAAATGTTTTAAGATCTCCCAACCCATCTATCCAGAGAGGACGGAGGCTCTAAAGAGGGCTGTGGAAAGAGAGTTGGTGTCTCATACAGCAAGAGACATCCAAAGGCTATCCAAGAGCATGTGATTCCTAGTTCTGGGTAGACTGGGGAGGAGGCTGGCTGGAAGAGTCCTACAATGGTTGAATAATGGCAACAAAGGTGCAGATGTCCTGAGACCTGACATCTAAGCCAATTCATGGCCCATAGATGGCTAGAGGTACCTTCTCCTGGCTGGGTATTGCCTTGCAGCTGTCTTCCAGTCTGGTTTATGCATAGCTGCTACCCGCGAGCCCCAGAGTCAGGCGCGCACGCTCACACAACAACATCTGAGCCGCAGCTCGGATCCTGGCCAAGAAGGAGGTCGTGCTGGCCGCTGGCCGACCCCAGCCCAGCTCAGTCCGCCCCCGCCCCACGCGCCCTGGCCCTCTGCGCCTGCTCCTCACGCCCGCCCACCAGCCTTGAATCCTCTGACCTCAGAGAAAAGTTCAAAGAAACTCAGCTCAGACCCTCCTGGTCAACTTCTGCCTTAAACCAAGGCATCAAAATGCACATTCTGCTTCCCTCCAGTCTCTTTACTTTGCCAAATGGGCCCCTCCAGAGTCTCACCAAAGGCCTGTCTCCAGATGTGTGCCAAAGTTTCCCAGAAATTAGCCAAACCTTGCTTTGGCTATCTTTCTATGCGCAAAAGCTTACACAAATTATATGCCAAAGTACACTCCCGATTTTCAATAGATTCCCCCTTAAACTGAGTGTACTAAAGGCCTGCCAAGATACTTGCCAAGGGCGCTCTTGCCAGTTCTCCTGATGCATCCAAAAGACATTTACAAAACCCACCTCGGACCAAATCCCCTAGGTACGCAGACAAAGTCTCTGTTATTCACAAAAACAACCCTTTCCAGATGTTTCCCAAGGCAATCATTCCCCCTCCTTTGCTCCGTCCTGGTCCCTGCGATGTACCTTGAACTTCCCCCAAGTTACTTATCAGCAGCCTCCTCTTACCCAAACCCTCTCCCCATCGTTTACAAAGACCCTAGCAGATGTTTTACCAAAGCCCCTCCCGACTCGGTAGGCCAGTAGGAAGTCAGAGGAAAGCTGGCCTCCGGTTCCAAAGTTTGTCTAAACTTTGCTGGATGAAGCCAGCGTAGCAACTTACCACTGCCAACTCTTTGTCTGTTTTGGGGGCGACATCGCCAGGGAACTTGATGATGGGCGATGGCGCAGCGATGGCTCGGCCCAGCAGGCAGCCCAGGACGCAGAGAACTCGCAGAGGGCCGGTGAGCGCTCCCCACGCCATTCCTGCCTCCATCGTTGCGCTCCCGGGCTCTGCGTGTCACCCTGAGGTTGCTGGCTGTGTACTGGGGTCCGCCCGGCTGGAGCCTCCTGCTCCACACGGCGCCGTTCCGAGATCCCCTTGCTAAACTGCCTTGGCTTTGCAGGGCTCAGGGATTCATAACGGAGTTCCGCGTCCCTACTAGCCCGGTTACCGCGGGTGCCTGGTGGTGGTCGTGGCAATCCCTTTGTATATTTAAAGCCCTGGATGAACGCACAGCAGCCTCCAGCCACGCTGGGGGGAAGTCTGGGTGCAGCGGAAACAAGGGGCGGGCAGACGCCAGATGTGGCCGGCTGGGCTGAAAGAGTGCTGGCAGCACCCAACCGTGTGGGGAGGGTAGGGGAATGAGGCGGGCGAGAGGGGTGGCTCAGTACGACCCGCCCCTCTCTTCCCCACTCCCATTCCCTCTTCTCGGTTTCTTCCTACCTCTTCTTGCATTTCCCATCCCCCTTCCGCCTCCAGCTACCTCCAGCCTTGCTCCGTTGCTGGGCTCCTTCTCACCGCTGCACCTCTACACCTACAGGCTCCCATCCAGGAGCACAGATAAGGACCCTCCCGTTAAACAACTGGTGCTATAGAGGCTCTTGATATTTAGAGATTGGATGGCAGCCTTGGCTTTGGAGGGATGCTGGGAGTAGTAGACTGAGCTCCGTGGGACAGGGGTGTTGGAAAAGTGATAGTTAGAGGCAAGAGGACCCTGACCTTTATTGATAGTGTGAAGCAGAACTTTTAGATAATCAGCCACGGAAACGCAAGAGAGGAAACTGAGAAGATGTAGAAAGAGACAAATAGAAGCTAGTAGAATCTAACTCCCCCCCTCCCTCCCTCCTTCCCTCTTTCCCTCCTTCCCTCCCTCCCTTCCTTCCTTTCTTTCTTCCTTCCTTCCTCCCTTCCTCCCTTCCTCCCTCCCTTCCTCTCTTCTTCCCTCCCAAAGTAGGCATTTGTTTGGTGGCACTGGTAGTCCTCAGTGAAACACATACAGTGAAGAACACAACACTCCACCCTGAGAAAGGTCCTCTCTCTTAGGAAAGACAATTGAGTCTGACCCCCACACCAACTAATATGGACATTCCAGGAACGCTTCCTGGAAGAAGTGCCTTCTGAGCTGTTCATGGGAGAGCTAAACTTTGGGGCACAGGGCAGGAACAGGACAGACATTTCCAGCAAGATATATCAGAGGAGGAAGTACCTTCTATCTTAAAGGTAGAGGGTATCCTGCCCAAGGGGCCAGCAAGGACAAGTCTGGGAAGAAGAAGGTGAAATTAGGGTAAGGTGGGCCTGATTAAAGGAGCAAGTACTGAGATAGCCAGTATCACTCTGCCTAAGGTGCTTGGAAATCATAGCGAAGCTATCCCAGGGCTTGGGAAAGCTCTCTGACTTGGGTCTCAGTGGGCTTCTGACAAGTTCAGGCTTGCCCAGCAGGCCTGGGAGGGGGGTTGACCAGGGTCAGCAGCAAGGAGTCTCTTGGGACCAGGATCTGTAGGAGGAAGCTGGGCCATCTGAGTGAACAATCCAGGCTTTGGGGAGGGGCAACCTCTGGGGAGGGGGTTGCCTGCTGGCCCAGCCCCATTTGGCACCGGGCCCTCAAGTCCTGTGGATAGCCAGAGAGCCAAGTTGGAAAGTGGGTAGAGAAAGTGGAAAAAGTTGTCTCACTAAAGCAGGAGTTGCAAACTCGTGGCTTGTGGGTTGAATAGCATTTTGAAATTTGGGAAGCCTTATGTAAAAATCAGACTTTCTGGTTTCGTTAAAAAAATGTCCTAGACCTAGCAACCCTGGGTAACAGTTTCCATGTGACAGCCACTGGCTGCCCACATGTCACCTACTATGCCAAATAGTTGGCTAGATATTAGCTACCTTGAAGGACGTTAGGGCTAGAATACTAGACCATGTCGTGGAGACAAGTGTGAGATGCTTACTGGCCAGAGGAATGGGATCTGAATCATAACCCAACAGGGGACGTTAAGTCCTGAGACATCCAGGACTGTCTGATAGTTATTACTTGATAACAAACTAAACCCCCTTTCAGGAACCCAAAACCTTGCACAATTCCTACCCAGCAGAACCCTTCATTTACCATTGCCTTCTCCAGAAGGGCAGTCCAAATGGGCTTGTCATTCTCCTGGGAAAAGTTATCCATCCTAGAGCCCGTAGAAACAGCATGAAGCCTACCCACAATAGCATGGGAACAGTGGTGTCTGTTGTCCTGACCCACCCTCATCCCGAGAAGCGAGCTTTCCTTTCCTTTGCCATTAACCGTGTCTTCTTCACCACACTCTGCGTGTCTCATCTAAGTTCTTTCTACAGAGATAGGGACCCAAGGGAATAGAGGGGAGGCCAGAATCATGCTCTAGTAACACCTGGTTTCAGTTTCAACTTTACCCTGAAAGACTTAGGGAGATCTGGAGTCCAAACAGCAGCGGTTTGGGGCTCCTCTGAGGGAGGGAAGGACTTTTCTTTTGAAGTCCCTAGGTGGAACCTGTTTGTCTTCTACTATGTGGTTCTAGGGATCAAACTCAGGCCATTGGCTTGATAGCAAGTACCATTTTAACCAACCTGCCTTTTCTTGGAGTTCTTGATAGAAGCATAAGGGGGTTCATACAGGGCTATGGGTAAATGAGGAGCTGGAATGAGAGGTCCTTCTGTCTATGTGTTACTTTTATTGGTTAATGAATAACGAACTGACTTGGCCTATAGCATGGGAGAAAGAAGGGTGGAGTGAGGGAGAAGCCATGGAGCCGCCGGAGACAGACATGCTGATATTTTGTTGGTAGGCCATGACCTTGTGGTGATGCACAGATTAATGGAGATGGGTTAAATTAAGATCTAGGAGTTAGCCAATAAGAAACTAGAGCTAATGTACCAACCAGCGATTTAATTAATACAGTTTCTCTATGATTATTTCAGTTCTGGGTGGCTGGGACGAACAAGTGGCTCCCTTCTCCAACAAGGAGCTATATAATCAAAGAAACATTCCCTCCTGACCAACTACTATTACCTGTTTATATAATCCTCAGGGAGGGGCAAGGCCACCTCTCACATGCCATCTCAGGAGTCACACCTGAACCCTCGTACATTGTCCTATGTGCCCCTGGAGCCTTCTCTTCCTCCATCCTGTGAGGGCCCTGTGTCACAGCTGTTCTGATTCCAAACAGCAGTCACGCCATGCCCAGAGGACATCCTTCCACAAGAGTGTGTTGGCCTCCAGCTGCCGGAAGAGGTTAGGAAACCTTCTTCTCTGGGGCCTTCCTGGGGAGCACGTGGCCCTGCAGGTGCCCGAGAGGGCTTTGGCATCCAGAACTGGGAGAAGATGAACTTCAGAGCTGTGTTATCTACGGAGGGTTGTTACATATGTGTTGGTTGGAATGAGAGCGGCATCCTCTAGGCTCATCTATTCAAATGTGTGGTCCCACGTTGTGAAATTGTTTTGGAGAGGATTAAGTGTGACCTTGTAGGAGGAGGTGTGTCACTGCTGTTGGTGGGGAGGTTGGGGGGGGGGGGCGGGTAGAGGTTTCAAACCCCATGCTAGGCCCAGTTGTGTAGGAGGAGGGCCCGTTTGTTTGTCCCGGCCGCCCAGAACTGAAATAACCACACAGAAACTATATTCATTAAATCACTGCTTGGCCCACTAGCTCTAGCATCATATTGGCTAACTCCTACATTTTTTTTTAAAAAAAAAATTTATCTATTTATTATATATATATAATATTCTGTTTGTGTGCATGCCTGCAGGCCAGAAGAGGGCACCAGACCTCATTACAGATGGTTGTGAGCTACCAAGTGATTGTTGGGAATTGAACTCAGGACCTTTGGAAGAGCAGGCAATGCTCTTAACCTCTGAGCCATCTCTCCAGCCCCCTAACTCCTACATCTTAATTTAACCCATTTCTAGTCATCTGTGCATCACCATGTGGCAGTGGCTTACTGGGTGAAATTCTCAGCATCTGTCTCTGGCGGCTCCATGGCGTTCCCCCTGACTCTGCCTTCTTTCTCCCAGCATGCCATTTAGTTTTCCCCAACTAGCTCTGTTCCCCTACAGCTCTGCTGTAGGCCCAAAGCAGTTCTTTTATTAACCAATGAGAGCAGCACATAGACAGAAGGACCTCCTACACCGGCCTCTAACTTGTGGATAAGATGTAAGCTCTCAGCTACTGCTCCAGCACCATGTTTGCCTGGCTGTTGTCATGCTCCCCACCATGATGGTCATGGACTGAGTCTCTGAAATTGTAAGCAAGCCTCAAATTAAATATTTTCTTTGGCATAACTGGCCTTAGACATGATGTCTCTTCAACAGCAATAGAGATGTAACTAGGACACCATAGACCTAGGAAACTACCCAGGCTGCACATTGCAGGTGCCAGGCTATGACAAGCATTTCAATTCCCTTACTCATCCGTTCATTCACTTACTCATTCAAGAACTCTTTTACGAACACTGTTCAAGGTGCTGAACTCCACCTTTAGGTCAGAGTCTGTGTCCCTGAGGAAACAGGAATTGCTTCCAGGAGACCTTGACTCCAGAGGCACCTGACTGGAATCAATCAATCAGAAGGGAAGGAGTGGTGGAGAAGCAAGGATGTGACATGATCAGATGAAGCCACATTGGGATGAAATGGGAGCCATCACTTCAATCCCTGACTTTGGGGTGTTACTAAAGCTTTGATGTATATGGAAAAAGAGCAAAAGAAGAGTGTACAGCTAAGCATTCCTGGTCCAGAAATGGTCTGGTTGATGACTATCTCAACTCTGGTTTTGGGTCCTGTTGGCTCCAGGGCATCATATTAGGGGCAATTTGTTTCTTGTTAGGAGATGATTGTTCTTGCTTGAGAGAAGCAGGCCACTTCCAGTCAGAGGGTGGAAGCTAGGGGCACTCACTATTCCTGGAATTTGAGATAAGTTTGGTCACAGTCAGAGAACAAAGAACTAGAAATACAGTTTGTCAGGACAGCTGCTCTTTCTTCACAGGGACAATGCAATTGCCTAAAGTGTGCAAGGGGTGGGCATCTGCCAACTGTGTCTTCCCAGGACTGGATCTTTGGTTCATCCTAGTGGGGTTCAGCAGATGGGACCCACCTCCCAAATCCACAGTGGCTGCCTGGCATAGACCTGGATGGGGACTGAGCTCATACTCCTTGACAAGGCAGACTCAACTGGGCTTTAAGAATCAGCTGAAAGCTAGGTGATTGTGGTGGTGTGCACACCTTTAATCCCAGCACTCCAGAGGCAGAGGCAGGAGGATCTCTGTGAGTTTGAGGCCAGCCTGGTCTACAAGAGCTAGTTCAGGACAGGTTCCAAAGCTACAGAGAAACCTTATCCTGAAAACA